TTCAACTTTGTCAAAAAACGACTAATAAAAAATTTCTAAAAACCGTTGCGCGTCTACGATCGAGATGGAAACTTGTTTTCTGGGCAAATCGGGTGCGTAGATTTCAAATTCGATGTCGATACATCGCTAGAATTTTCGGCTAGCCCGGAAAAATAGTTTCTAGTCAACTTTTCACCCTAAATTCCATCTGATAACACTTAAGAAAGTTTTCACCATGATATTCATATTCAGCGTCCCAAATTACCTCATTGTCCAAAGCTCCGCTCTCATGTAGCCATAGATAGTAAAAATGGATTTTTAGCACCTTAAAGTCGCAAAAAACACCTAGTTTTGCAATTTTTCGCTAAGTAATTAGATCTACATCATAAACGGAATCACATACATATAAAACGACCTCGGATTCGATATGGGCAGCCCAAAATACGTGGAATAAGGGTCATTTGAACCGCATTTAACGCATTTTAACATATAATGACCATGTATAGGGGTATTCTTACCAAAAGTCACAAAATGGGTCAGTCGGGAACGTGAACGCAACATATCTTATAATACGCTCTTTGGGTCGCTGAAACCGAATCCATGGCCCACTCCGTCCGAAAATGCCTCGTTTTCAAGATACTGGCAAGAATTCAACTTTGTCAAAAAACGACTAATAAAAATTTCTAAAAACCGTTGCGCGTCTTTGATCGAGATGGAAACTTGTTTTCTGGGCAAATCGGGTGCGTAGATTTTAAATTCGATGTCGATACATCGCTAGAATTTACGGCTAGCCCGGAAAAATAGTTTCTAGTCAACTTTTCACCCTAAATTCCATCTGATAACACTTAAGAAAGTTTTCACCATGATATTCATATTCAGCGTCCCAAATTACCTCATTGTCCAAAGCTCCGCTCTCATGTAGCTGTAACAGTAACTTCGTCCGAGACTCCCGGGCCCCTCAATGTCGTGCCTTGAATATATATTTAGATCTTCAGTCTAATGCTCTAATTTCTGGATTGGCCCGAGACCACTCGAATTTCAGCTTCTGTTACCTTTTACTGTCTTCCTATGGGAGGTAGACTCACGTAGAACCTGACATAAGTAATTAGAATCATGACTCATTGAAACACTCACTTTGCGCAGAACGTTGCCTCTTCTGTTCTCCAAGTGCTCCAGGGAACGTGGTGAACGCCCGAACGAACACTTTCGGAACCGTCGAACTCCGTTAGCTTCAGTTAATAAGTTTAATGAAACTCAAGTTAGAGGAGGCCAATTCTTTTATTATTAATATTAAATCACAAACTCGAACTTGTGCTTTTCCAGCAATGACAAGAATCATTAACGCCGTATAACTAACAGACTGGGGAAAAGATCACTGGAGGAGTGAACTACGGCTAAGTTAAAAGGAACGGTGACAACTAAATTACAATAATTTCATGTTTGAACCTAATGGCAAAATTAAACTTAAGAATCTCAACTTTAGAGTGCTAATTAATCAGGCTAGTTCCTAGAATCCTTAGTGGACTAGGTGTTAATATAGCTTTAGCCAGAAGGGCTAAAGGGGGAAAAGCCTCCTTTTGGTACTTGAAGTGCTTACTGATTGGAACACAACTTGACACAATTCAACAACGCAACACTTATTAACAGCCACCAACTGAGGGAAAATCGAAGCAACTTTGTTAACCGTACAAATCAAAGATGAGAGAAGAACTGAAGTTTTTAGTTTCAAAACTGTCGGAGGTCAGTTGCGGATTTTCCCCTCCATCAGAAGGCTGGTCACTTTTACTTAGAAGTTCAACCCGTGTCTCTTCATTGGTCGATCAGTTTACAACCCTTGGAATGGCCGTCTGGTTCTCTAAAGATAGAGACGAACCTGACCAATGATTGTTAGACTTAATCTTTGAACACAAAATGACCTTAAACTCTATTGGTTAATTACGTTCCCTTGTCCCACCTCAAGGAGTGGCGTCAGCATACAGTCTTCCCTTAAGTTAACACGACACGCCCCCTTCAGTGGCGTCTCGTGGCTCTATTTGCTTAGGGGCGGATCCCGCAATTTTCGATAATTTCAATGGATTGGGAATTCCTACAATGCTGAGGCCACAGTTCGAGATGTCCTCTTAAATAATTATAAAATTTTTTACATAGCATTTAGGTGAAACTAACGGTGACTTTCTTCTGGAATTTTAACATATTTTAACAAGATTAGCTTTGTTGGAACTACGCAGTCTTTCGTTAGTTTCACCTGCCCCTCTCAATGATAATTTCCAAGCCGCATCTGTCAACGCGTACGTTGACAGAAGGTAGAATCGTTTCCAGTCTGGCGCACCTTCTCCTATCAGCTAGGGGAAAATTCTACTAAAACCTAGCTGTTTGCCTCCTCTTTTTTCATCATATTTTCCCACAATCGTGACAACTTAGTAATATGCTAGCCTTCGGAAGTCTTAGATATTCCATGATACGCCTCTGACGCTTGACCGTTCAGCGCCCGGGGTAGCTTCTGACATTTGCTACCCAAATGGTTGAGTTTCAAGTTTAACTGAGTTCCTTCGGTTGTAAGCTTTATGGTTATAGCATCCAAATGTTATTTCAGAATACATCTCCAAACCATGTTTTTGTCCCAGCATATTTGAAAAGGCCCAACTTTATAACATCCGGTTCTATTATCTATTTCTTCGAATTATGAATTTGGTTTCCCTCGGCGTTCGCTGGGTGGTTTGCAGATGCGAGTGTTTGTTCCGTCCTTAGTTTTTATGTTTATCTTTATTTCAATGAATTTAAAATGATAACTTGGTCGGCTACATTAACTTTATAGCATCCGGTTCTATTATCTATTTTCTTCGAATTATGAATTTGGTTTCCCTCGGCGTTCGCCGGGTGGTTTGCAGATGCGAGTGTTTGTTCTGTTTGTTTGTTTTTATTCCATGGATGCGACGAATTTCTACAAGGGCAGGCGGCGTGACAGATTATTTCAACGAACTTAAAATTGATAGCTACATTGCTACATTACCCCCCCCTTAGACGGAACAATTTTTTTTCGGATCATGGAACAAATAAAATTGTTCGGAAGGCATAGCTTAACAATAGGATAAATGGAATAATAGTTAAAATAAAGAAAAAAATATGAAACAGAAAAGTAAGGAAGATTTTCTTGTGACCTATTGATACGCCACTGCGTGTGGATCCAGGCACGTGCTATCCTTGCACGGCCTCAGTTGTGGATAGCCCGGAGCCGTGGGTACCGGCTCTACTTGGATGGCGACGTCCACCTCCGTTGTGGTCTCGGCATTACTCTGGTGGTTGATTTCTTGAAGTTCGAACTGCCCTTCTCGCTGTGTGTGTAGGTGGTACAGATAACGGTGAGCTAGAGCCTGCCATAAACTAGCCCATAGGTAGCGTCTCCTCCTCGGATGGTTCCTCGCTGCGTTTCGGAGTGTGAAATAGTTCGCGATCACACTGGCGACATAGCTGGCAATACATAGCATGGTGTATAGGAATGCACACACCGAGAAGATGTTGCCCATACGTGATAGGAACCCCCATACATGTTCCGCCGCAGTAATGGCGATGTTCTTGAACTCTTCTCTCGTAAAGAGTCCTGGCATGTAGTAGCGGTTGGTTGTATTTTTTCTTCCGGCCAGGCGCCTTGCCATCTCGTTCGCTACAGCCTCACGTTCATTCGGGAACAATAGGGCTTGTTGAAAGGTGTCCATTTCCTCTTTTGTGTAGAGACCATGGGAGGAAATAGGCGATATCTTCGTTAGAGTGATGGTGTCCTTTTCTTCGTTCGCGTCCAACTCCATTACTGACGATGTCCTCTTCAACGCCGGCGAGATCTCGATCCAGGTCCCTTCAAGTTGGAAGTTGGCTGGTAGGAGAGGTTGGCAGTCTACTTCTTTACCATGTTGGACGAGTATGTGACTAATGGGCGTCCGGTACCAAGTCTCGTTGTTGTATGTCACGGGTAGTTCTTGGTAGCATTTTTGGGATTTTCGTATTTCTACCACTATAGGTTTGCATTTAGCGATGTATAGGACCTCTCCCATTACTCGTCCTACGTATCCTGTAGTTTCCTTGATCAGGTTGCCTATCAGATCTGGAGCTTGAAGTGCCATCGTGATGCGGTTTTGAAGGATCTTCTCTCGGAGTTGACATCTTTTTACAATGGCGTCATAGACTATATCAGCCATGTAGCGTTTGACTGCAATCTCTAAGTATAGTAGCTTACTTAGAACGTGCGCCATCATGTCGGTATTCTGGGCTATCTTCGTTGATTTCCGGAAGTAGAATCCTATGGAGTCCCGGAAAATCACTAGCAGGCGGTTTTGTTCTGTTTGCCAGGCGTGTTGATGGCAAAGGTCTTCTGGCTTCGTCAGCTTCAGGGCAAATACTGTGTCGTCCGTCTCCACAATCACGTACTGGATCAGTGGATCTTTACGTAAGGTGAGAAGGGTGGCATTTCCTTCGTATAATACGTCAACTCCTTTGTTGGTGCACTGGTCTTCGTAGTGGGACTCCCAAAGTGCGATTCCGGACAAATCGTCGAAACAGGCGCCATCATTGAATGGGCAGATGGTGCCGCTCCTCAGGTGGATGGTGTTTAGCTCCACATTGGCAACTGTGTCGTAGTCAGACAGCTTGATGGTGATAGCTCCTGACACGACTACGTTTTTGTAGACAACCTCTCCTACTGTGAAGGTCACTCCCTCACAGCGGCCTTCTGTGTCTAGTTGTCCTTGCAGGGTTGTGGAAATCTCCGTCGTTCCATTTTTCGTGAGCTGGGACACCATACCAGCTCCGATTGCTCTCAGGTCCAAGTGTTGGAATCTCTGCGCTTTTCTGCATTCGGAGTCTGACAGATCCAGGACATACTTTCCTAGGCCCCCTGCGACTGTGCTGGAGTGCGAGTGCATCCCGCAATGCTGGATAGTTTGTTGCACGGTGATCAGGCAGGTGTATACGTGGACCCCCACGTATTGGCGTTTCTGGACCAGCTGGATGTCCCATGGTTTGGTTTCCTCCGCCTTCCTCGGGTCCAGACATGGCTTCACCTTCAACAGCGAGACTTTGGTGAGCTCCACGGAGTCGTCCTTGCAGTCGTAGGCGATGATGTCCGCCTCCAACAGCTGCATGCTAGCTGCAAGGATGACGAGTAGCCCGAACATCTGAAAAATAAGAATGTTTAGTAGTCGAAGTGACTATACATGGCTCTGGGCGTTGCGAAGTGGCTGTGGTATTAAAAGCGGTGATCAGTAACCCAAGGTAAATCTGGTACTGGCCCTTGACTCCTGGTATGTCTTCTTGCTAGTTCCTGATGAGTTTGTTGTCCGGTGGGTTCTTCTTCCGCCGGTAATAATTCTGTCTCCAGATCTCGATCCTCTTCTCTTTTGTGGTCGATAGGGCTTGGAGGAGTGTCTCCGTCCTCATCTTCTTTGTTCTTTGCAATCCTCCTAGGCGAGATGGACGTCTCGAAGCTACCCAATTTGCCGTCTTCTTCTACGCACTCCTCTTCGCTGGGAGACCTGGGTGTCGCGTAGAAACTAGTTTCGTCCACGGGAAGGTATGACGTGGACTCGGTGCTTCCTGACGAATTTTCTTCTCTTATCGACTCTCCTGCGGATTCTGCTACTTCCGCAAGGGCCGGTGGGTCCGCCCAAGCATCACCTACATAGGTGTCATTAGGAGGAATGGGGCTAACTACAGGTGAAGGAGGATTGGACAAGTAAGGATCAGCCACTTCGTTACCTGTATTGTTTTGCGTTACCCGTCCTTGTCCTCGATAAATTCCGATTCCGATTGGTGGTGTATTTTCTGTCAGTCGGAACTTTATGGGTACATTTCCCAGTTGGTTTCCTGGATCTTCTGTGGCCAGACATTTCTTCAACCGGTTGACATGAACCTTCTGTTCCTTAACCCCATGTATCTCCCTTATCGTGGCTGTCACTTTCCGTAGATCGATTATCCTGTACGGTCCTGTCCACTTCTTGGCTAGTTTACTACTAATCCCGACCTTATCCGCGGGATCCCAAAGATATACCCGATCTCCTCTCTGGAGTTTTACCTCTTCAGCTTTCTTATTGAATTGAGTGTGTGTTCGTTCCGTGCTTCTCTTTAGATTGTCGAGAGCATTTCTGTGAGCAATCTTCATACGCTGCATGAATTCCGCCGCATAGTTTGAATCCGCGTCGTATCTCACCCTTAGTGGTTTGAAGATGTCATCGTATGGGTAGTCCATGTCCCTGCCATACAAAGGAAAAATGGACTTTCTCCAGTAGACGAATGCGTCATCGAAGAATAGGCTGCTAAGGCGTAGGGCAGCCATTCATCCCAATCCCGCTGATCCGGCTGTATGTAGTGACTGAGCATATCCTTTAATGTGCGATGAAACCTCTCCAAGGCTCCATTGGCTTGTGGTCTGTATGCAGTGGTTTTCAGGTGCTTTATCTGTAAGGTCTCACAAACTTCACGTATCAGCTTGGAAGTAAAGTTGGTACCTAGGTCTGTCAAAAGCTGTCTCGGCGTCCCATGGCGTAGAATGATTCCTGTGATGAAGGTCCTCGCAACGGTATTGGCTGTTTGGTCTTGCATTGGAAAGGCTTCCACGTACTTGGTCAAGGCGTCCTGTACTGTTAGTATGTATTTGTTACCTCTCAAGGTTACAGGCAAAGGTCCCACCACGTCCATGGCTATTCTATAAAATGGCCTTTTGGGAGGTTCGCTTTTTACCAATGGCGCGGGCTTTTGGTGTGGTGAAGTCTTTCTCTGCGCGCAGGACACACAAGCGTTTACGTAAGCTCGAATGTCCGCGACCATTCCTGCCCACACGAAGGCTCGTTTTATTCTATCGTAAGTTTTATCGACTCCTGCATGCCCTGAAAGTGGTAAGTCGTGATATAACTTAAGTATGGCCGGTATCAAATTTCTGGGTGCAACTAAGGTATCGCCGTGCCGGCTATCGTCCGATCTTTTGAAGAGCACTCCATCTAGATCTAGGTAGTAGTCCTTAACCGTATTGCTGAGGACTTCCTTGATGATCTTCATTACCTTTTCGTCTGATATCTGTTGTCTTCTGATCTCTTCTCGGTCCCACACTGGCGTTTCTTCTTCTCCGGCCCTCAGGCATCTTATAGGCTTAATCCTAGAGAGGGCGTCAACGTTACTATGTTTCTTACCCGGCCTATATTCTATTTTGAAAGTATATTCTGACAAAGCTAGTGACCATCTCATCAGGCGGTTGTTTGCTTCCTTGACTCCCATAAGCCACTTCAGTGGTTGGTGATCGGTGTAAACGGTGAAGTCTGTTCCATACAAGTAACAGCGAAAATGTTTGATGCTCCAGACCAACGCCAAACATTCCCTTTCGGTAGTGCTGTAGTTCCGCTCGGCTTTCTTCAGTTGCCTGCTGACGTAAGCGATGGGAAGCTCTACTCCATCATACTCTTGACTGAGAATTGCCCCAATAGCAAAACCTGATGCATCCGTCGCTAGAATGAACTTCTTGTTAAAGTCAGGGTACTTCAGTATTGGTTCTTCAACGAGTGCTGTTTTTAACTGGTGGAAGGCATCCTGGCATGACAAATCCCATTGGAATGGTGTGTTTTTCCGTGTGAGATAGGTTAATGGTAAAGCCAGCTGGGAAAAGTTCTTGACGAACCGCCGATAGTAACCAACTAACCCTAGAAAAGCTCTGATTTGGCTGACGTCCTTTGGTGGTGGATAATTTCGGATTGCTTCGACCTTTGCTGGATCTGGTTTTACGCCGTCTTTGCTCACTATGTGACCTAGGTAACCGGTTTGGGTCTTGAGGAATTCGCACTTGTCCTTGTTCAGCGTTAAGCCCGCTTCTCGAACTTTCAAAAATATGTCTCGGAGCTTGGTTACGTGTTCCTTGACATCATTCCTTGAAAAACAGATTATATCGTCGAGGTAGACGAAACAGTGTGACCCTGTGAGACCTGACAACACCGCATACATTAACCTCATCCATGTTGCTGGTGCGTTGACTAATCCAAATGGCATCCTGTTGCACTCGTAGTGCCCCCATGGCACCGAGAACGCAGTCTTTTCTTTATCATTCGGATCTAATTCCACCTGCCAATATCCTTTCGTCATGTCCAGCGTCGAGAAAAGTTCTGCACCACCTAAAGAATCTAAGGTCTCGTTGATATTGGGAATCGGAAAGAAGTCTCTCTTGGTTATTGCGTTGAGTCCACGGTAGTCGATACAGAAACGATACTTCTTTTCTCCTTCCTTAGCTGTTCTACGATCACCACTGGCGCGCTGAAGGGAGATACCGAGGTTTTGATTATTCCGTCTTCTAACATTTCGTCGACTTGTTTTCTTACTATCTGTTGTAACTTAAATGGTACGCGATAAGGTGGCTTATAAACTGGTGGGTTGTTTCCTATATCAATTCTATGCTTGACTAGGGACGTTGCTTTTAAAGGTTTTCCTTTCTCGGCAAAAATATCTTTAAACTCCTCCAGAAGCTCCTGGATTTCTATATACTGGCACTCTTTACCCTTTAGGCAATTGTCCATTGACGTTCCGTTGTCGTCTTTAAAACCTATTGCTGAACTTTACTGCTGCAGTTAATTGTATTGACTTGCGATGAAAGAAGATTTTGGCTGATCTCTTCCGTGCTGGCGCTCATCAGGATCGAAATCGGTGTGTTTTTCCGAATTGTCTGAGTCGACGGACAAACGTTGATTATTCTAATAGCGATTGTCCGGCGACTTCTCCGTATGTCATTTGGAATGTCTACCAGAGTTCTGGCTACGCAAATCCCTGGGGCGACGTGTAGGGGTTCGCAGACCATAGTACCCGGTGGGTGTCGACTGTCCACCGGAATACTAAGGTCGCTCCCGTGAAAAGCTGGTATTTCTATTGTTTCAGACAATCTGAGTAGACTTGGTCCCTTGGTGTTGTAGGCTTCCTCCAAGCTAGATTTCTGAAATTCTATTGTTCTTTTGGATTTGATTGTGAGGCAGAGCTGGTGGCGGCATTGGACTTCGAAAAGGTTGGATCCGTTGTCTGTTGGGCCAAGACGTCAAGAGAAGTCGTGCTTGACTCCTGGTGACCCGTAGGAAGGTGAGTACTCGTACCCCTCGTTGCAACTGACTTACTCTTTTCGCGGGGATCGCCGCACCCGTACCCTGGGAATCCGCGTTTTCGCAGGACTGCAGTTGTCGCCTATTCACTACAGGCACCGTAGTAACCTGTGTGGGGTTGCGCAAATGCGTCTCTATGGGTACAAATTTTTGAAAGGTACTTCCATAGCTGACAATGTCAGCCTCGGCCCTAAGACTCCTTTTCTCAATTTCCTTTGCGTCCGCGGAAATCAAGCCAGATTCTTCTTGTAATCCGCGACAGCTAGGAGCCTCGGTAGCTGGCTTATTCATCCAAAGGGGGTGCATAACTTTTAGGGTAAAATCGTCCCATATAACCTATCGTTAATCCACCATTAAAATCGAGGATAGGTCGATGGTGATCCAAAAATCGATGCCTAATAGTCCGTCGGCTGGAAATTCAGATCATTGTTGCAGATGACGAATTAGCATTCCATTTCTATACATCCGAGGTTGAATCGTACTCTCGCTGATCCTCCTTTCTGGATAACTTTTCCGGATATGTCCGTGATGATTCTATGATAGTCCGGGGCAACTGGTAAATTTAAGCGCTTAATAACTCCAGACTTTACTAAGCTAACGGCGACTATCGATTTTTTAATATCTGCTAACACCGACCTATATAATATATATTTCTCTTTCCTTAAATGATTTGCCTTAACCCCGATTATCTAAGCAACTCCCTAATGTTCCTCTTATTTTCTAATCTAACTCCCACGAGGGCCACTAATCGCTCGTTCTATGCAATTTATAAGTACGACGTGACGGAATGACCACCAATTTCGGATTTGATTTATTTAATTTTTTTTCAACCTATACTAGTGAAGAACTATCAAGAAACTCGAAACGCTCCTCCGCTTTCCGTGGTCGGGACCGGAAACTATAGAATGCTAACACAGAACGACTTATAAAGTCATCGAACAGGTCCTGGCTCCTTCCTAGAGTGAATGTTTACGATAACTTATTAAACCTAAACTTAAATTTTTTTTTTTTTGGCTCCGACTAGGTAAGTCACCCTTTTCTTAATGTGAATAACAAAACCTATAATATATGGATAATAACTATTCCAATGACTAATTATCCTTCTCCTTTGCTGAAAGAAATAAAACGACTCTTGAATAAGCTGTAGGAAAATTATTCAAGTAAAACGAATAACTAAAGCTAAATCGCTTGTTAATGCTGCAAGTAGAACTTATTTCCAAAAGAATTAGTTTATCAACTAGATCACGCTGAAATAAATGGTGGTTAAAGCTGTGGACAAAATTGATATTAATTTGTTCCTGAAGGTTTCTTAAGTAACTTTATTAATATAATTTAATTCTATCAAGTAATTCCTTGTCCTACTATTCGCTGAAAATAGATACTAGCTGAAAATAATCTTAACTAGTCAAGTGATTCCCTATCAAAGAATCTTCTGAAAATAAAGGCTGCTTATAGCTGAAAACAATGTTTACTGTTAACTGGTTAAAGTAATTCCTAGTCTAATTATTGCTGCAAAGAGACAGTAGTTATAGCTGTGAACAAAATCTTATATTATTAACTTATGTATAGAGTGAATATATTACTTCTCAGTTCACACGGAATTTGGTTGAAGCTGTGAAAAGATGTAACATTAGCTTAATTCTACGTAAAGTTGCTGAAACAAAATTTATGTTATGCTAAACACCAATCCCAAGTTTACTGAAAAGAAATTACGATTAGTTGTGTTACCTCGAGTATACCCAATTTACTTTCAAAACTTGTGACAAAACTCTTTTGTTCGTCACTCGAGTTGCCAATTCTGTCACGTGACAGATGCTTCAAGACCACTTGAATTGGCCTCGTAGCTCTGCTGATGAAGTCTTCGCCTCAGATCTCTTCCAGTCTCTCTTCAGTCGAGGCTCGGCTGTTGGGAGAATTGTCTGTTCACAACTCTCACCCGTTGGC